TTCAGACGTGTGCTCTTCCGATCTCCCCAAAACCCCAAAACCCCAAAACCCCAGCCAATGCTAATCATTAAGATTAATAGGATTTATAAATAACTCTTGAATTAATAAGTGATTAAGATATTAATGTCAATCGTGATTAATATGAAAATATTTACCATTAGTTTTGTGACTTTTTAATATTTAGTGTCTATACATTGATTTTGAAAAGAATGGCTTCATTTCATCTTTGTTTACTGCTGCCTAAAATGATGATCGCTACACCTAATATTGCTAGTAGACTTGCAATTATTTGATAAATAGATGGGATCTATTTTAAGAAAATGGCAGCTAAAATAGATGTATAAACTGGACATGTATACATAATGGCCCCAGTTGGACCTGCCAAACCTTTGACTAAGCACTTCAACGCTACTATACTTAATACCATCATTATATGGCTAGCAATGATGTTAATTCCAAAATTATACCAAGTATAAGACTTGCATCCTGTTAGCCAGTAATATATACTGCAAATCATAGTCATTAGCCCTAAAAATAAGCCGCAATCGACTGATAGGTCAACTGGCTAATAGCCATTTTTTTTGTAAATATATTTAGCTTGAAAAGTTCTAAGAAAATTTACAAATCCACAAGTTAGCGCAAGAGCGATTGATATTATTTTATAATATTGTTTTTCTTCCTCAGTGAATCTATTATCGGCTTAGTCAATGGATTTATTTCCTTTTGAAAATGATATACCTACTATACTTATTATAATAATAATCATTCCAATAATTTGAGTCTTGGTTAGCTTCTCGTCATAATAAATATAGCTGAAGATGGAACTCAAGACAATACTAAAACTAATGCAGCTTGTTACGATACCGAAATTTATTTTCGCTTTCTAAGCATATCCCGATGCAAGTATCACTAATAATGAGAGTCCAAAAAATAAGCATGATCGAATTATCATGTGAAAAATATTGAAGAAGTTTACTCTTGAGCCAGTTTCGTCAAAATATTTAGAAAAGAACTATTCAAAAATAATTTTTTTGGAAATTCGTTAATGCTCTCGGATTTGAAGTATTTTATAACCAATGCAAATTGTGAGAAAACCTGGAAAGGTCAAGCAAGATGTTGCGAAATCGGTGTCATCCAAGAGACTAAAGATAAAATTTGCGACTCCCCAAAATACTGCTGAAAAGATTGATTCGCTGAAGTAAATTTTATTTTTCACAGGTATTTATAAGCTCAAATCTACTAAAATTGAAAACTTTAAGGGACTTAAATTTTCAAAATATGATTTATCTTAGGGGGTATCTCTATGTGTATCGATAAGTGCTTTTGACTTTTCATTAAAGATGATTACATGGAGCTCTGACTCTTTCATAAGATTTTTATTTTAGATATTAAACACAAATTTAAGAAGTAGAGTATTAATATTTTTAGCAAATATTAAAACATACTCATTAAATAATTTTGAGATTTAATAAAAACAGTTAGTTATTAGATAGTTACTCCCTAATCAAATATTGATTTGTATTATTTTATCATTAGAAGTAAAATCAAAAAATTAAAAAGTTCAAATTATTCAGTCAATTCTTTCCCAATGGGGTTTTGGGGTTTTGGGGTTTTGGGGTTTTGGGG